GGTCCCCTACTCCAGAGAGAACTCGTCCACGATCCCCCAGCCCTGTGTCTAGTGAGAGATCACTCTCGAGATTTGAGAGGTCTGCAAGATTTGATATCTTTTCCAGGTATGAGTCCATGAAAGCTGCTTTAAAAACTCAGAAGACATCAGAAAGGAAGTATGAAGTTTTGAGTCAGCAGCCTTTCACGCTGGACCATGCCCCTCGAATCACATTGAGAATGCGCTCACACAGGGTACCATGTGGCCAAAATACACGTTTTATCTTAAATGTTCAGTCTAAGCCAACTGCTGAAGTTAAATGGTACCACAATGGTGTGGAACTCCAAGAGAGCAGTAAGATTCATTACACAAATACAAGTGGAGTCCTGACTCTGGAAATTCTAGACTGTCATATTGATGACAGTGGAACCTACCGTGCTGTGTGCACCAACTACAAGGGTGAAGCTTCTGATTATGCAACATTGGATGTAACAGGAGGGGATTATACTACCTATGCCTCCCAGCGCAGAGACGAAGAAGTTCCCAGATCTGTTTTCCCTGAGCTAACAAGAACAGAGGCGTATGCTGTTTCGTCATTTAAGAAAACGTCTGAGATGGAAGCTGCTTCTTCTGTCAGGGAAGTGAAATCACAGATGACAGAGACAAGGGAAAGTCTCTCCTCATATGAACACTACGCATCTGCAGAAATGAAAAGTGCTGCAATAGAAGAAAAGTCACTGGAAGAAAAATCTACAACCAGAAAGATCAAGATGACTTTGGCGGCAAGAATTCTAACAAAGCCACGGTCCATGACTGTCCACGAAGGCGAGTCTGCAAGGTTTTCTTGTGACACTGATGGTGAGCCAGTACCAACTGTGACCTGGCTGCGTGGAGGACAAGTGCTACGTACTTCTGCCCGCCACCAAGTGACCACCACCAAGTATAAATCGACCTTTGAGATATCTTCAGTGCAGGCTTCCGATGAGGGCAATTACAGTGTGGTGGTAGAAAACAGTGAGGGGAAACAAGAAGCACAGTTTACTCTGACTGTTCAAAAGGCCAGGGTAACTGAAAAGGCTGTGACGTCACCACCAAGAGTCAAATCCCCAGAGCCTCGGGTGAAATCCCCAGAAGCAGTTAAGTCTCCAAAACCAGTGAAATCTCCAGAAACTTCTCACCCCAAAGCCGTATCACCCACAGAGACAAAACCAACACCAACGGAGAAAGTTCAGCAACTCCCAGTCTCTGCCCCACCAAAGATTACTCAGGTTCTAAAAGCAGAAGCTTCTAAAGAGATTGCAAAACTGACCTGTATGGTTGAAAGCAGTGTATTAAGTGCAAAAGAGGTCACCTGGTATAAAGATGGCAAGAAACTGAAGGAAAATGGGCATTTCCAGTTTCATTATTCAGCAGATGGTACCTATGAGCTCAAAATCCATAACCTCACTGAATCTGATCAGGGAGAATATGTTTGTGAGGTTTCTGGTGAAGGTGGAACTTCTAAAACCAACTTCCAGTTCATGGGGCAAGCCTTTAACAGTATCCATGAGAAGGTATCAAAAATATCAGAAACTAAGAAATCAGATCAGAAAAACGCTGAGTCAACCATAACCAGGAAAACTGAACCAAAAGCCCCTGAACCAATTTCCTCAAAACCAGTAATTGTTACTGGGTTGCAGGATACAACTGTTTCTTCAGACAGTGTTGCTAAATTTGCAGTTAAGGCTACTGGAGAACCCCAGCCAACTGTCATCTGGACAAAGGATGGAAAGGTAACCAGTTCTTAAATGTCTCTTACTTTTATCTTCTAAAATTTAACCTCTCCCTTAATTCCCCATTCAAAGAAAGCTTAAAATGGAATCATTTGCATTCTATAGGCTATTATACAAGGAGGTAAATATAAACTCTCTGAAGACAAGGGAACGTTCCTCTTAGAAATTCATAAGACTGATGCTTCTGACAGTGGACTTTATACTTGTACAATAAAAAATTCAGCCGGATCTGTGTCCTCTAGCTGCAAATTAACAATAAAAGGTAGGTTGGCTTTTGTTTTTACCAACATTCTTTCAGAAGATAGTATTATGAAAATATTTTCAGACATCCTCACTTATACACACATACAAGAAAGTATTAAAATTATTTTCCTAGTTCCAGAATGCCATTTGTACACCAATGTAGAAGCACACAAATTTGAAGTTAGCATATGCTTTTCTGTGAGCATAAAAAGCATTTATTAAGTTCCTTATTATATGTGGTATTATATAAGATTCTATAACGTCAATGCTTGCCCCCAGGAATATTTAAGAATAAAGTCAGTGAATATACAAAATGGTACTGCTTGCCTAAACCTTCACACTTGCTAATTTTCCAAAGTAGTACAAAGTTAATTAAAGAACTATTTCTATTTTACCAATTAAAATTAGTTTGCTTTCATTTCAATCTTCTGAAAGATAATTTAATGTTTTGGCTATTCAAAATCTCCTAAATCCACATATCTCCTAAATCCTTTTTGAGACTTTTTTCCTTAAGTCATACGAATCATCTTTGGCTCAGTTTAGTTTAAGGAATCATTACACTGATCTCAAAAGTCACACATGACAATTTTCCAAAAGTGGAACTGAGAAAGTATTAGGTATTACCTATATTGCATGAAGAAGTTGACTTTTTTGTTTGTATATTGTTCACATGCAGAATCTAGAAGAGTAAAAGGTGGGGGTCTCTTTCCAATTAAGTTTGCCTTACAGAGGTTTCTTTTTTTAGTTATAAAAGATACTGAAGCACAGACAGTCTCTACACAAAAGTCTTCTGAAATTACATCTCAGAAGAAAGCGGTTGTTCAAGAGGAAATTTCCCAAAAAGCCGTAATGTCTGAAGAAATTAAGATGTCAGAGGTGAAATCTCAAGAAAAGTTAGCCCTCAAAGAGGAAGCGTCAAAGGTTCTGATTTCTGAAGAAGTCAAGAAGTCAGCAGCAACCTCCCTGGAAAAATCCATTGTCCATGAGGAAATCACGAAAACATCACAAGCATCAGAAGAAATCAGAACTCATGCTGAGATTAAAGCATTTTCTACTCAGATGAGCATAACAGAAGGTCAAAGAGTGGTTTTAAAAGCCAACATTGCTGGTGCCACTGATGTGAAATGGGTACTGAATGGCATAGAGCTGACCAACTCTGAGGAGTACCGATACGGTGTCTCAGGCAGTGATCAGACCCTAACCATCAAGCAAGCCAGTCACAGAGATGAAGGAATCCTTACCTGCATAGGCAAAACCAGGGACGGAATCGTCAAGTGTCAGTATGATTTGACACTGAGCAAAGAATTCTCAGATGCTCCAGCCTTCATCTCACAGCCTAAATCTCAAAATATTAACGAAGGACAAAATGTTCTCTTCACTTGTGAAATCAGTGGCGAGCCATCCCCTGAAATCGAATGGTTTAAAGATAACCTGCCAGTAAGTTTAATTATGAATATATTATTGAAAACTTAAATACCGTATCTTTCACATCTGAACAACTTCAACATTTCTTTTCTTTTTCCTGCATCTTAGATTTCTATTTCTTCAAATGTCAGTGTAAGTCGTTCCAGAAATGTATACTCTCTTGAAATCCGAAATGCATCGGTCAGCGACAGTGGAAAGTATACAATTAAGGCCAGAAATTTCCGTGGCCAGTGTTCAGCTACAGCTTCCTTAATGGTTCTTCGTAAGTATCTCCTTACCATTCTTTCTTATGCACTTAAGCCCTTTAGATGATTTTTTTCCTCTCTTTCAAGCACAGAAAACTCTAAGAAGCCTTGTTAAATTCCATGTGAAAGAGAGACAGACATCCTGTGTGAATTCATTCTTGTAGTTAAACTTTCTTTATAGCTAAAATGTATGTATATATGTATTTGCTTATGCTTCAACAGCAAATTGTTTGAGTTATGTTGCTGTGCGTGTGTTGGTTTCCATTTCTGTAAGTCAGCGTCATATGTCACCAATTAACCAGATGTCATTGATGTTCACTGTGTATCTGCTATGCTCCACAGCTCTAGTTGAAGAACCTTCCAAAGAGGTAGTATTGAGAACAAGTGGCGACACAAGCTTGCAAGGAAGCTTCTCGTCTCAGTCAGTCCAAATGTCTGCCTCCAAACAGGAGGCCTCCTTCAGCAGTTTCAGCAGCAGCAGTGCTAGCAGCATGACTGAGATGAAATTTGCAAGCATGTCTGCCCAAAGCATGTCCTCCATGCAAGAGTCTTTTGTAGAAATGAGTTCCAGCAGCTTTATGGGAAAATCTAGCATGACACAACTGGAAAGCTCAACTAGTAAAATGCTTAAAGCAGGCATAAGAGGTGAGCAATAAAATTACTGGTAGAGGTTGCCAGGCCAAGTGGCATGGTGTAGTCTTTAGTATACGCAATTCAGTAGAAAGCAAATCTTTATTTTTTCAGTGATCCTAAGACTTTTTTGTCATTGTTCCATAAAGGAATTCCGCCTAAAATTGAAGCTCTTCCATCTGATATCAGCATTGATGAAGGCAAAGTTTTAACCGTAGCCTGTGCTTTCACGGGTGAGCCTACCCCAGAAGTAACATGGTCCTGTGGTGGAAGAAAAATTCACAATCAAGAACAACAGGGGAGGTTCCACATTGAAAACACAGATGACCTGACAACCCTGATCATCATGGACGTACAGAAACAAGATGGTGGACTTTATACCCTGAGTTTAGGGAATGAATTTGGATCTGACTCTGCCACTGTGAATATACATATTCGATCCATTTAAGAGGGCCTGTGCCCTTATACTCTACATTCATCCTTAACTTTTCGCAAACATTTCACATGGACTAATCTTTCTGATCTGTAAATATTTAAAGAAAAAAAGTAGTTTTGTATCAACCTAAATGAGTCAAACTTCAAAAATATTCATTTCAACCTTTTCATAATTGTTGACCTAAGAATATTATACATTTGCTAGTGACATGTACATACTGTATATAGCCGGATTAACGGTTATAAAGTTTTGTACCATTTATTTTATGACATTTTACAATGTAACTTTTGAAACTAACTGTTGGTAGGAGAAAGTTTCTTATGGAACGAATACCCTGCTCAACATTTAATCAATCTTTGTGCCTCAACATACTGTTGATGTCTAAGTATGCCTCAGTGGGTTGAGAAATTCCCCACTGAAGATGTCCTATCCACCTAAAAGAGGATGATGCTGTGCATATCACTTGATATATGCACCAATACCTATTGAATCAGAAATGTAAGGCATTGGTGATGTTTGCATTTACCCTCCTGTAAGCAACACTTTAACGTCTTACATTTTCTCTGATGATGTCACACGAAATTATCATGACAAATATTACCAGAGCAAAGTGCAACGGCCAACACTTTGTTCGCTCCTTTTACACTGTCTCTGACATAAAGAGTGCCTGGATAGCTTGGAAAAGTAACATCTCCTGGCCATCCCTTCATTTAACCAAGCTATTCAAGTATTCCTATGCCAGAGCAGTGTCAGCTCTTGGAGGTCCCAGGGTGCAGCCAACGCCTTCGTGTGGTAGTTCTAAATTTTAATTGCACCTGAAAAACCTGGGCACCTAAGCAATGAGCCACAGCAAAAATTAAAGAACAACAACAAATAAAGCTGTCGTTAAATTTAAAACAACAATATTACTAACTGCCCACAATGTCAATTTGATGTAGTTCTTTTCATGCAAGTATAAATTCAGTTGTTAGTTATAATTGTTGGACCTCTTGAGATAGTAACAACAAAATAAAGCAAGCTATCTGCACCTCAAAATGTGTGGTTGGTTGTTTTCTGTGAAATTCCAGGGTGGGAAAGTATGTACCTTCGTGTATCACAAAAACAATCATAGATAGATAAGGCAACTCAAGTTCAAAACAGCCCATGCTAATAAGTTTTTTTAAGAAAATGTTTAAATTATTGTGTTAGATATATTCAGCAATTTTGTTTTAAAAGCCTAGATATAGTTCTTGTGGGTATATTTATACCCAAAACTTTATCTTCTAAATATGTCAAGAAAAATATTTTAAGACAGCTGATTCAACTCAGAATCAGCTGTGATTCAATATCTTTGAGGGATTTTGAACATCTACAATTCACAATCCTTTGTGCCAAACACCACAGGGAACAATACAAAGATGATTAACATGGTACACAGATCCTGTCCCTCAAAGAGCATAGTGACCAGAAAATGACAACTTCAGGGAAAATGTCCCATTGTACAACTGAATCCATATTGACTACTGCAGCTCCAAACTGAGACAGAACAAATAAAGGACCTCAGAACTAAAGAACTTTCTTATTACCAAATCTAAATCAATTGTTTTAAAAGCATGGTAGAATTACACCATATGGAAGATTGACACTATTTTAAATTGTGTCATTCTACTATGCTTTTTAAACAACCGATCTAGATTCAGCAATAAAATAATGCAAAAAATATCTGCATTTGTCCACTTCAATTTGCTAATCATAAGCCTATGATGTTATTTGCCTAAATTGACCTCCTTGATGTAGGTACAGGTGACCAAACCTGAAGCAAATGTACTGTCAATTTTCATTCTCCAGAGGAAGATTTTGAGTCTTCATTAACTTATTCAGCAAGTTTTCTATGTTAAGTCAGATTCCCTAAAAGCAGAGCCTGAGACAGGTATTCTTGTCTCAGTAAGTCTTTGAGGGATTATTACTCTCAGGGAAAAAGGGCATGGAGCAGCCAGCAGATAGGGCAGAGGAAGAAAACTGAGCAAAAATGTGGTCTCAGCAGAAACCTCAGCCAGATCTCACAGGGAGCTTCAATTGTACCACAAAGCTGGTTCCCTCTAGGAGCAAGAAGGCTGACCCTTGGTACCCCCTTACCAACTAGTCAATGGCTACAGTCTATAAGCTGAGGAGCTGATGAGGGATGGAAGAGGGAACTAACCTTCCCAAGTGAAGAGGAGTGCCTGTTGGCCAGGACAATTCTCTGTGGACTAGGGCAGCCAAACAGTCAATACTCAAGAAATGGATGGAAGAACACATTCCCTGGGGCATCTGAACAATGCCAAAGGAACCCACTACATCATCTTACAATGTTAAATGCCTATTCTTACCTTAAAATGAGAGGCAGGACTGGCTAGGTAATGCCTAAGGATGATTCCAGCCATAACACGCTAGTATTCTCACATATCCTATCCATGGCTATACAGTCTGCATTGATGAGAATTCCAAAACCAAAGACAGGATTTTGCACTTTCTGCAGTTGCAGCTCCCAGGCTCTGAGATCAAATTTTGGCCTCGGGAGGTGGGGAGGTGGGGAGGTGGGGAGGTAGGGCAATCTGCCCAGTGAAGGACAGCAGTGCTAAAGGCAAAGTTTTACTTACTTTTGTGCCTTACCGAAAGCCCACTGTCTCTGAAAGCAGCACGGTGTGGCCACATGGACACACTGGGGAAGTCAGAGGCACTCCAACAGAACGGCAAGAAGACCCTTTCCAGGCTCCTCAATCTTCTAGGAATTCCCTGCAAAAGACAGCATGTCCAAAAGTCAGGATTCCAAACATGAAACTCATGATTATCCTGAGATTGTTAGTGATCCACAAGGTCCCTGAGACTATGTCTATTTTTTAGATTTTATTTACAAAGATGCCAGTGATTTTTAAAGTTTAAGAAATGCTGTCCTACATGTATCTAAGAGGTAGCAGCCTAGATAGATAAAATTTATGAAAATAGACTGGCCCATGGGTTTTTATTCGAAGTTATAAGAAGTGAAAGTTTGTTCTTGTGCTTTTTGGTATCTCTGAGTCAGTATTTCACTATCTCCATTCCTTAGGATGCCTTTTCGTTCCCGCTAAAAAGAGGCAATGATGAACTCTACTATTGAAACCCCTACAAAGGTTCGATGCTCAGAATTTCCTTTCCTTCTACATCCAGGAGAGACTACTGCCAATGGACCTTGTGGTTCCTGAACCAGTAGAGCCTCAAGGATGAATACTTCTTGCTATATGCAATAGGTACAAATTCTCTAAGTTATGTAAGTCTCCGGGAATGTTGAGGCGACTCTGTTGGACACTAGTCTCAGCCTTATGAAGAGATGTGGTACATGAATGAATGCAGTTGTTTGGTGTCAGCTGCCAGTTCTGAGACCATCATAACCAACTTCTAGCTTTTAGTCAGATGAGGGACACGAATATTACTCGTTCTCCGACTTGCCAAGAAACTTGGCACACAGGCATAAGGCAGGCCAGCTGTTCCCCTTTCACTTCCACTTCCTGCCACAACCCAAAGAAGCCAGAGAGGAGGGATACCACCAGACCCATCAGGCCAAGACCAGGTCGGAGGCTGAGATGCTTTGTCCTAAAAAACTGAAGGACCACTAAGGGGACGAGAATGAGACCCGTAATGAATATAACTACTGGAAGGAAGGCTCAAAATAGAGAATACTGAGATGCAGGGTCTTTGAATAACATGCCCAGAGTCACATGGCTAGCAATTGAGCTAGAACAAGAGGCCAGGTCTGTTTATCAGTGTTGTCTTTCTACCCCTTTATAACACCAAAAACCAAACATGTTGGAAGGTGAGCAGGCAAAAGACAGTGCTTGCTTAGGGAGAAGAGGGCTCTGTTCCACTTTGAGCATCATTGTAGTTCCAGGGCAGGGTCAACAGCAACAGGTCACTTCCTGTAAAAAAAAGAAAGAAAAAAGGCCCCTCATTTCTAGTGTAGGGAATTCTTCTCAGAATGCTCAGGCCAGAGATGCTGAACCCATAACTGGCATCTACAATAGTCAGGAAATAGGGTGCTTACCTGACCAGTGTGTCAGGTGAAGGGACAGCGATGGGAAATCTTCCCAGAAACTATGCTACTAGGCCCTACAGTATTTACAGAAAAGAATCATTTCATCACTGCAGGAAGAAAGTATCGTAGCAAAACAATCTGCCTAATTCTTGGTGGGGGTTGAGACAGAGGGAAGCAGGCTGAGTGTTCTTGGAATATTTAAGACACGGGACTGATTATAGCCACTATAAGGTTTCTGAGTGCTGGGTATTGTATAGAAATTATTCCAGGGAACTTGGAGGATTTGGCTTTATTCTTTGCAGTCTGACACTGGGATGAGCAAATTTCTTATTTAAAGGGAAACAGCTTTCTCTTTCAGAGAATTCTCAAAGGTATCTATAAAGAAGTATCCTTACAAGTACTGTGCTTCTTATTCTTAATACATAAAGCAGTTGAGAGAAGACACTGAAAGAGCACTGCCTTCAGTCCAGTGACCATTCTTTGAGCCGTTTTCTCTTTCCCCATCTCAGGGAAGAGCGGAATTTTGTGGTGATGGCAGTTGTCTCCTTCACATCTGCTCCAGATCAGGAACTCACTGCAGCTATTAATCTGCTGATGTGAGCATGTAGTACTAGCTTCATTTTCCAACCCTGCATAAAAATGTCACAACTTAAGTCACAAAACCAGAGAGAAGCAAAAGGCAGGGTATGTGGAGGTCTACAGTTACCCTAATATCACCTCCAGTAGTGCTTCTCAAACTTTAAAGTGTGTAGGAATCACCGAAAAAACTTGTGAAAATGCAGAATTTAGCTCAGCAGATCTGGGGTGGGGAGCCTGAGATTCTGCATTTCTAACAAGCTCCCAGGTGAAGCCAATGCTGATCCTCAGACCATTCTAATAAGGACCTCTTTGGCCTTTCTGACTGCTAGATGATGGACACAAACTTTAGTGAGACAGGTATATAAAAGAGATAGATCTATATCTATCTATATACACATACAAACACATACACACACCTCTACCTCTTCTAAAATACAACAATCAGAATTGAGAGTTTCCACCCAGCTCAATGGTTCACAATGTTGGGTACCCACTGGAATTGCTGAAAAGCTTTTTAAAAATGGGGTGGGCATGGTGGCTCACACCTGTAATCCCAGCACTTTGGGAGGCCAAGGCAGGTGAATCACCTGAAGTCGGGAGTTCAAGACCAGCATGACCAACATGGAGAAACCCCATCTCTACTAAAAATACAAAATTAGCCAGCTGTGTTAGTGCATGCCTGTAATCGCAGCTACTCAGGAGGCTGAGGCAGGAGAATCACTGGAACCTGGGAGGCAAAATTTGCAGTGAGCCAAGATTGTGCCACTGCACTCCAGCCTGGGCAACAGGAGCAAAACTCCGTCTAAAAAAACAAACAAACAAACAAAAACTGCTGATTGGGTCCCACTCTTCCCCTGAGAGGTGTTACTATAATTAGTCTGCATCAACCTACCCATCAACTTAGAAAGTTTAAATCCACCCTGGGAGGGCAGGGGTTCTTTTGTTTCTTTTTTTTTTTTGAGACAGGGTCTCACTGTTGCCCAGACTGGAGTGCAGTGGTGCAATTACAGTTCACTGCAGCCTCAACCTCATGTACTCAAGCAATCCCTGCACCTCAACCTCCCGAGTAACTGGGGACTACAAGCATGCACCACTATGTCCACCTTTTCTTTTGGAGAGATGAGGTTTCACTAGGTTGCCCAGGCTGGTTTTGAACTCCTGAGCTCAAGCAATCTGCCCATCTCTGCCTCCCAAAGTGCTGAGATTCTAGGCGTAAATCACTCTGCCACTGACTACACTCTGGGAGTTTCTAACATGCAGCCAAGGTAGAGAAATCCTGATCTAAACAAGTAAGGTGATGCACTGTAGGCTTTCATTTTAGAGGTTAATTATCACCACTACTATCTTTTCTCACATCACAACACTAATCTTAAAATAGCCAACCAGCTTTCACATTTAAATGTGTGGCAAACCAGTCATCTTTTTAAAAAGCAAAGTGTTATGTTTCCTCAAACTTTCAAAACATACTGTATTTAAATTTCTCTCAGTGGCATGGCAAATTTATTAAACATTTTCCCCCATACTGTTCACATCACTCAGTTTTATTGAATTTATAAAATTACTACAATATTTTCAACAAGCAGAATTTTTATAACAAAAATATAGAGTACACACCTTTTGGAATTTGGAAAAGAAAAAAATACTCACAAAGTAAGCATACATATATTTTTAAATAAAGTTTATTTTCCCCTGGGCATAGAAATCCAATTCTGAAACTGTTTGAAAATTAAAGTGTTTAGTTATATCAATCAAAATCCATATTTGCTATTAGATTTCTAAGTTAATTTAGAGACTAGCTGTTTAAATCAATTCTATTACTTCCAATTTTTTAACTTCTAAAGTTACAAATTTTTCACTTAAATATCCATAACTACTGTTGCAAGAATTTTTCTGTGTGTTTATATATTTCATGTATATGTGTGTATATATACACATATAATATATATATATATATACACACACACACACATACACATAACTAGCCCAAAATAAAGACATTTAAAAGGCAAAAAAAATTCATGTGCTTATGTCTCTAATAATATTTAAACACACAAAGAAAATGCTATTTTAACAGCAATCATTCTACTTTCTAATGCTCCCTTACTTATGTTTAGGTTAAAACAACAGTTGGTGTGCAAATGTGAATGATAAATACCATTCAACTAGTTAAATTTAAAAAGTGAAAATTTTGGAAAGCCAATTATAATTAAGACAGTCAATGTATATAAACTATTAAATAATAAAGCAGTTTTAAGTTCACTCAAGAAATAGAAAGCAAAAAAATAATTAGAAAGCAAAGATAAATACTAGCAACATAGCACTTAGTGAGTGGTTAATGAATATTAACTGAAAAAAAATTTTTTAAGAGGTAAATAAATGTATAAACAACTCTAAATTAAATGGTTAACAGCCCCCCCTGAACTCACCGCCATTCCCAAGTGATTGTTTTCTTTTATGTTATTATATAATATAGAAATAGTAAGGTGGCCATTTTGGGGAACTCTATAATCATCTGTCAAAAACTGGAGAAAAGATAAAGTGAATAAAAGAAAAGTAGAAAGAATGAGAAAAGTTCATATGACTTTTTTTGGCTAATTGTAGATAATATTGGAAAGCTCTTAGAAATTTACTAACATTGAACCATGATTTCCATAAAAGCTCTTCAGAGCAAGTAGAAAGGAAAGATTGAAAAATTACACAGAATTCTGAAAACCAGAGGGCAAGAAAACTCAAAAGTAAGTCATATTCTCTAGAGCAAGACACTAATGGACTTGAACTATTAAAAACATCATCTAAGACTATATCCACTGCTGTCACACTCCCATAATCCCAAAAGGAAAAAAAAAACCAAAAACCTGCAGGAGTCAAATCCCCAAAAGTGGCAAATGGCAACATTATGGTAGAGGAAGCCATATAGTACCAAAAAAAGAGAAAGAATGTTATAAGACCAAAAACTGATAAGTTATCGTCACATTTTGCTAGGCTTCCTGACTACAGTCATCTTTAAGGACACTGTGTGAACATGGCCTGATTCAAAATAGCAAGAAAGAAAAACTGCAATCTGTACCTTTTCCTCCTCAAAGGTCGTGGCCTACAGCAACCAAACATGGCAAGGAGAAGGAAGGGCAACTCATCTCTCTAAGGAGGTTTGCCACTAAAGCAAAACCACAAATGAACTCAAACTCTTCTCTCCAGTGATGACTAAAGGCGATCAAAACACAAAAGGTGATAGGTAAAGCACTCATATGCTACTGAATTTCACTTACCTAAACTAGTACCTTTAAAAAAAAAAAAAAAAAAAAAAGAGTATTGGCACTTTTTTTTTCCTGAGCACCATGTCAAGGTTGCAAGGGTCTTTAAATTCATGAAGGCACTACTAATAAGTGAAGGATGTATGTTACTTATATATACATATGCACTTAGCCTGAATAAAGACATGACAGGCTGTTTGTCCCCATTTATTTTTGCCCAATTTGTCCCCATTTTTAATGTATGAACTTAAAGTTCACCCTAGTTGGATAATGAAAACAGAAAACGGAATCAATTATAAGTTGTTCAACTTTGCTTATTGTGAGTAGCTAAAAACATGTACAATCTAGCAAAGTTATACAAAGTCAGAACATACCCACTGCCCTATATTCTTGATGATAGTTACCCCTACCACCATTCCCCACACCCTCTTAGGAAGCCATGCAGACATCATTCATCAAGTAGGTAGGGATTCTCTGCTAATCCTAGCTGCAAAATCAGTCTTAAAATTAGCCACAATTAGTTAAAAAAATAAAAAAAGAAAAAGAAAAAACAGGCAGTTTGCTATCCATGGTCATGATGCGAAACCACAGTAGGTGTGTGTAATTTTACTACACACTTTTCTCTAGCCAACCACTGCAAAGCAAGAATAAAAATGAATAAGCTAAATGAGGGTTGTATTCTAAAGCCTCCCCAAGATGAGGCACCATGGCAAGAGGCTATGGGCAATCACCTGTGGATGCCAATTCTGAAGGCATGCTGAATCACTTGGATAACCCAGCAACCCCTCGCAACCACAGACACCACCAGAATAGGGCATAATATAGAAAAGTTCTATTGAATTCAAGTACAGAGTTTAATTCTGGTGGTAATATTTAAAAGATACTCATTTTATGCTCATTTACCATATGAATTTGTCAAATGAAGATCTTTAATTACATGGACATGTATATATTGTGTGACCAAAAAAAAAAAATACTCAAGTAAAGGTCATAAAGCTACTTCCTTCTTTGGTACCAGCTGTATCATAAAAATGTGCCTGTAATCCCAGTACTTTGAAAAGCCAAGGCAGGCAGATCCCTTGAGCCCAGAAATTTGAAACCAGCCTTGGCAGCATGGCAAAATCCTGATGTTACAAAAATACAAAACTTAGCCAGGAGTGGTGGTGCATGTCTGTAGTCCCAGTTATTCAGGAGGCTGAGGTAAGAGGATCATTTGAGCCTGGGAGGTCGAGGCTGCAGTGAGCTGAGGTCACGCCACTATACTCCAGCCTGGGTGAAAGAGTGAGACCCTGTCTCAGAAAAAAAAAAGTGATAGTAGTAAAAATAATAATGATAGTAAACAATAGCTAACACTTATTCAACACACACTATGTACTGTACCTGCTTTTTATGAAATGATTCCTCTAATCCTCACAACCCTATGAGGTAGGTAATACAGCAAAACCATATGAATTAAAAATCACTATAATGACTTATAAATTAATAATAAAGAAATTTTATTTTCTACATACTATTAGAATTTAAATCTAGACTTCCAGTGAAACATGACAAACCAACCACATGAATTTATTTCCTCTACCTCCAAACCACTAAAAAGACATTAAAGGAATATAAATGGTATTAATCTACAAAGAGAACAGACTACGAAGCCATGAGATTTCAACAAAGTTTACACAGATTAAAAACCAGGAAGAAGTGTGATACCTAACCTAGCAGAGTGGAGAAGTTAAAGCCTAAGTACCCAAAAGGGAGAAGCCGAACAACACACCCCACCAAATCTGTAGTAAGTTCAGCACTTGGAAGCACTAGGTATTGCAGAAGATGGGAGTGAGGTATAGGGCTGAAATTAGGACTAGAAGTCTGTATAAACAGCAACTGGACCCCAGGTCCTCTCCCCCACTCTCCACAGCCAGCCAACTCCCCATCCCCAACCTCCACTGACAGGAAAAACTTAACCTGAGGGTCGGCAGCCAGAGGAGGACTCGGGGAGTAGAACAGGTGGGCATGAGACTGGCTGAAGATAGAAGGATTAAGTAAAAGCCATCATATAAACCTTGGAGTAATGAGCTCTCTTTTCTTACCCTACTACCAGGACCTAGTTTTCTAGAGAAACTGAATGGCCCCAAAGACAAGACCTCCACTGAAATTTAGGGGACCCCAAAAGAAAGGGCCAACTCTCTACCTGATGGCACTTAAAACAACTTATAAACCCTGCCCACACATAAAGACCTATGACATTAGCTTTTTAACACATGACTAATATAAGTAGATAATCTCCATCTAAGAAAGGCTTCAGAATGAAAGAGCCCAAAACAAATAAATAGAAAACAGAATCATGGTGAGAGAGGGGGAAAACCATGCAAGAAACAGGAAAGACATAAGAAAAAAATCTTAATTTTATCTTCAGGAAGATATGGAGAAACATTTAATCTATAAAATAAAAATAGGTTTTTATGAAATAACAGAAAACAGATTTCTTAGAAATTAAAATATATATAAAGAAAATTCAACAAAGAGCTGGAGGATAACAAAAAGAACAAAGATAATATAACTTAAGAAACAACTAGAGAGAAAAAGCTTTTTTACTTAGAGGAGGTCCAACTCTGGGAGGTCCAACATTCAAATAAAAGAAATTCTAGATAGAGCAAAGAAAATGGAAGAGAGGAAATTGTCAGAAAGATAATACACACACCAAAAAAACCCAGTACTGACGAAAACAAATCTCTAAACTGAAAGATTCCACCAAGTCAAGTACCTAACAAGATGAATGAATAAAGACCCACATATCATTATGAAACATCAGAAGTAATGAGAAGTTCCTGAAAGCTTACGGAGTATAAAAACAAATCCCAGGTAAATGAACGGTATCACAATTCTCACAGAAAAACTAAATGCCGTTAAGACAATGAAGTGTTGCCTTTAAAATTCTGAGGGAATGTTATTTTCCAGACTCCAAACTACCAATCAAGAGTAGAGACGTTTTGAGACCTATAAAGCCTTAAAATCTTTACTTTCCATCCACCTTTTCTTAGGAAGTTACTAGTTGATGAGCTTTGCAAAAAAAAAAAAAAAAAAAGTCACAAGATCCACAACAGAAGATCTAATATGAGACTGAAAAAACAAAGGGAGTTTCAGAATAACTGCTGAGCCATGGAACAGGCCTGAAGGGCAACAGTACAAATGGCAGATGAAGGACTGTGGAAGAAATGTCCCTAAAGGATGACAAAATGATTTCGAAAACTTTTTAAAACAAAGGGAATTGGTAGTTTATCTGATGTTTTTCAGCACTGAAGCCTTGGATAGTCTTTGTGACAGGTACATTAAAAACTAAGGAAATGGCCAGGCGCGGTGGCTCACGCCTGTAATCCCAGCACTTTGGGAGGCCGAGGCGGGTGGATCACAAGGTCAAGAGATCAAGACCATCCTGGTCAACATGGTGAAACCCCGTCTCTACTAAAAATACAAAAAATTAGCTGGGCATGGTGGTGTGTGCCCGTAATCCCAGCTACTCAGGAGGCTGAGGCAGGAGAATTGCCTGAACCCAGGAGGTGGAGGTTGCGGTGAGCCGAGATCGCGCCATTGCACTCCAGCCTGGGTAACGTGAGTGAAACTCCATCTCAAAAAAAAAAAAACAACTAAGGAAATTTGAAAATCAGACAATACCAGCCTCAGGAAAAATAACATTCTAGTAAAAAGGAAATTATGATAGTTAACCATGTGGTACATCAGTGAACAACATTTATGTCTATCTAACAAGAAGTTTGTTATAACAAAACGTTGTGTGAATATAAATCTATTTTGGGAGAGGTGGGAGAAGAAAAATGGGGAGGTGGAGATTTTACGTAAAGTAAATCCTACCTACCATAAAAGGCATTTGAGAAATTGTTTCTGAAATTGGTAAGTGAAGAAAAAGTAGTATAACTTTTTCAAACAGGCAGGTAAATACTAACACAAACCACTAAGAGTTCCAAGTGTTTGTCTCTGGAATGCTAAATTGGGGAAGGAGGAACTACACTTTTTCACTATCAACCTTTTAGTTCTATTTGATTTTTTAAACTACATAATTAGTTTAGTAAAAAGAAAGCAAAAATTAAAAACAAAAAGAAAAAAACCAAAATTTCCACTTAAAAATTCAGCAGGAATTCCAAGAGAGGACTGGGGAGACAGAAAGACATGAATAGAAAGGCAAGTCTACCAGCTACCTACCATTCATTTACCCACCAGGGTTATTAAAAGAGAGGCCTCTTCAAAGAAGCTCCTGCAGCCTACTCTGGCTTTTTTGCAGGCCAGGAAACTCCCTCTGCACCAAGTAGCAAGAGCAAGACTCAAAGGACAAACCTAGAGGTACCTTATTAAATAAAATAACTAGCAGAGTCCAAATTAATAGTATAACAGCAGTCTAATATTAATATTACAAAGAATACATTTCCTGAGATCTTGTAATTTTTAAATGTCTAAATGTGATAATGAATAATGAAAAACTACAATTCAAGGTCAGAGGTTCCAGGGCATCTGTGGAAATGAAGATACCCTAGCTCCTGCCTTGGAATTTAAGTTTAAGCAATAGCATCCATTTCTGGACTTGTCCTGATTGAAGATAATGCAATAATCCCACATGATGTAACAAAATTCAAATTCAGCTCATTTATAAAAGAATTGTACCAAATCCCTTTAGTCATGGAGGCCCGCGATTCCCATAGAGTAGTGACCAAGCACTTGAAATGAAAAATTATCACGGGTTTTGCTTAGAAGATCACTGATACACTGCCAAGAGAACCTCCAAATTTCTTAATAACTTCTCATGTTTCTCAATAACCCCATGACCTAGACAAAGCAAAACAAGGACAACTAATAATTAATAATAACCAATAATTTTTCTATAAAGTATAGAACAACTTGACAAGCTAAAATTCTTATAGAATTGTTATTTGGTTCATCTTTTTCTTAAAATTCAGAAAAGTCAGGCACAACTGACTTTTTTTCCCTTAAGTTTTATAGGTTTCTTCATGCTAATAATTCACTGATCAAAACCTGAATATAATTCAAGATATATTTATACTCCCTCAGAAAAATGATTTCACAAATGTGTTTAGTTCCTAACAATAAGAACAAAAAGTGGCTCTAAGTCATAACAAAAGACATACATAGGGATACCACAAACCTGTTCAAGGATCTGTTTAAAGGGGGAAAAAATGATACGAACCAAATATAATTGCATTTTATTTAAAAAATATTTACAGAAAACTCTTCACAAACCCACCTATTTGGGTAAAGCAATAGAAAATGGATGTGATTATTTTCTATAAGTTCAAAAGCTTGTTATGGTGTTTTCATTATAAACCTATTATTCAAAAAACTACCAGAAAAAACTCCCAATCAGTAGCACCCTAACCTTATTACTGTGTAAGTTCTTCCTACAAAACAAAACAAACAAAAAACCAGGAAAAACTTGATTACCTGCTCAATGTCAAAACTTACTATATTATCAAACTGTTTTTTTTTCAAATTAGACATATGAAATACAACTTATGAGCAGGAAAAGACTCCACTGAATATTGAGTAGTCTGATGACCTGTGTGCTATTTAAAATTACAAACACTTTAAGTAGCATACAGTTTATCCAAACACATATTAATGAATAGATTGTTTATGTCCATTTTAAACTTAAGATGGAAGGCCTATAATTAGTTTTTTAAATAAATACCAAACATTATTTTTTTTATTCCCACAAAAACTTACAAGAGAAATTAAAATGAAATGAAATAGGCCACACCATTCTAAGCTCACAGGCAACAAAAACTAAAAGTATGCTTCATTTGTGTCTTCACCAGCAGGCCTAAATATACAAAAACAAACTCAAATCAGTAAGAATTATATTAGCACTTAATAAAGATTAGACAGAATACCAATGAATGTAAAAAATACAATGTATTATATGATATGTTTGAACGCAAAAAATCACACATTTATTAAACTTATGATTAACTTAAAAACAACATACCAGTTTGTTTTAAAGTGCTCCTTATCTAAAACCTTATACAAAACCATCAGCCCAAGGTGAATTCAAAAAACATATTACAAGGCAAACACTGACAATAGGTATGGACAGGCACTACCAAAAAAATGCTATTTGTTCTTTAATTAAATAATGCCATTCTCAAGTAATATAGTGCAGACATCTTGACAGAATTCCTTTTTTGTATCAATATTCATAAATAAAAATGTCTCTAGATATTGGAAAGAGCTTCAAACAATACTTTACAACAGCAGCTTAATGTCTATTTTAGGAAAAAAAAAAGCACTAAAATCCTCTTCCACTGAAAGTTGTTTCTCTGGTGTAAGTGAGCAAAGTCACTACAGCATTAAAATGTCTTTTCTAAAACAATATAAAAAACAATGTATACACATCTTAAATTTGGTAGGTCACAAAAGTTAGGATGCAGTCATCTTTTGAGGCAACAAGAAAATAAATAAATAAAAATTAAATACTTTAACCCAACATTTGGTATTGACAAATCAGTAGTGTCAACTTCACATATGAAGGACAATACAGTCTGGTTATTTAAAAATACTCAATATGTCATGGTATTTGGGCTAAAGATATTTGGAATATTCTAAATATTCTAAATGTTTCCTTTTTGATTAAAGGAATATAATACAATCATCATCAAGCTGCTATCATAACTCATTTTTAGCTGTGGTAAAGTGACCATTTGGTCCATGGCACAAGTTACATATATCACACTCTGTCAAACTGAAATCTTATAAGATTTCATGTTTATAAGCTACAATACACCCTAACCAAGCTGTCAGTCCCCTCACAGTTTTTTAGAAAAATATCCACATTTGTCCTTATGGATGTCAAAATGTTACACCATTGTTTGTTTAAAAAAAAAAAAAAAAAGATACACATTCATACTGTGAAGTTATTAGGAAAATACTCTTGCAAACAAACTATATAAAGATAAAATACACTTCAAAAGTATGTGGGTTGTTTTCTTGTTTGTTTGTTTACAATATTCTATAAAGTGCAGAGAAGTCTTTAAGGGAAAAAACTACTCCCTATAACAATAGTTTAATCACAGCAGCTTTTGCATAGCAATACTTAGAGGAAGTTGGACACTTCAGTTTCTTCAGGAAGAAAAGGATGGAAGAGTATTTTCTGATTCAGATTTCTTTTTGGCCATAAGTCTGCTTTCTTCAAGAATGGTTGCTGATGCCAAATCTCCATTAAGTGTATTTTTTGAACAGTGAACAGGTCCTATGAAGAAATTGGTTAAAAAGTTAAACATCCTGTCAATATTAACTCCAGTCCTCTGTGAAAAAAACATTTTAAATTTCCTATTCGGGGACATGAAATTCCTTTAACTTCCTGCTAATTTTTTATTTCCTTGTTTGTTTCATAGAGGAAAATTTAACTTTTTGACTAGAGCCACAAGGAGAAACATCAGAATTCATGAGATAAATGATGAAAACTGCCTGAAGTAGAGATTTTTGTTTTGTTCATTGCTAGAATCATGGTTGGCACGTAATAGGCAGTCAATAGATATTTGCTGAATTGAATTTAATCTTTCTTAATTAACTATCGCTTTTCCAGCCTGTTTTAATGCTGTTAATATCCTCCTTGGTTCTAGGCAAAGGAACCAAAGGAACCACGTAAAAGGATACGTGCCTTACCCAAGATCACACAATTGGTAACAGAATGAGGACTAAATTCAGGTCTTCCTCTTTTTGTTCTAAGACTTTCTGAGCAAAGCCAATAAGGTACTTCATACTCAAATTTCCCATTTCTCCATTTGTAATGCAATTCACAGAACTATCACTGTAACTCGAAGTTAACACACCTGACTACATAGTCCTGTTCTAAGGCATTTGTACCTTTACACATATTGCTTGAGTTTACCATCATCATTTATTACTTTCATGATTTTTGAAAAAGCTTGTTTTAAAAAAAGCAGTTACATCTCACAAGAACATTTTTGAGTAACAACTTTCAACTAAGACTGGAATTGCAAAATATATACTTTCTAGAAGGAGCATTAATTCCATCCTTGTTTTGTCAGCTAAGCAATTGAAACACTAAACTTTATTATAAACAGGAATAAATCTAAGGATAAAATTTTGGACCTAGCCTATACTTGCCAATTTAAAGATGTTCTAAAGAAGTGAACAGAGAGAGAGAGAGAGAGAGAGAGAGAGAGAGAGAGAGAGAGAGAGAGTGTGTGTGTGTGTGTGTGTGTGTGTGTGTGTGTGTGTGTGTGTGTGGCTAGTTTTGTTACAGTCCACAACAGCTAAACTGGGGAATGCTAAATATAATAGGACATGTACACTTAAATGTTTTGAAAACTGTTTTCAAATATTCAGAACTAGCGTAACTAGAATAAAAGAATTCTAAAGAAAAATGGATGGCTTTAAAAAAAATTATTTTAGCAATCACAAATGATTCCCTTAAAAAAAAAAAAAAAGATATAGCACTTAAAGAAAAGCACAAGGCAGCATACAGAACTCCTTCATGAACTCTGGATTAAGAGTCATGTGTAAAAGGCATAAAGAATAAGGAGAATCAGAATGTATCTTACCTGCCTCAGATAAGACTTTTTTTACATACTCAGCCTCTTTAACCTTCTTCCTCTTCTCCTTTTCTCTTCCAGATCTTGTTCAATTGGTCCAAGAAAGTTTTTTTCTCCCTTTCCCTTCCCTGTTTCCTTCATTTCTCTACCCATATTTCAATTTAAATTCAAAATGGTAATGAGCATAGAATAGTGCCATATATCAATAAATAGATTATTAGTTCAGTTTAAAAAAAAAAGTGGGCATTAAAAAAGAAATGCCATCAACTCCTAAAAATCCAAAAATGAACAGCAATCCTTTTTAAAATTGCCATGTGTGTGAACTAAACCCGTTTAACTTTCTGGTTACATAAAACAACTCTACCTTAATGTTTTCAATACACTTGAATGCTAGAAATACACCATTGTTGGAGGGATAGCATTAGGAGAAATACCTAATGTAGATGACAGGTTGATGGGTACAGCAAACCCCCATGGCACGTGTGTACCTAAGTAACAAACCTGCACATTCTGCACATGTACCCCAGAACTTAAAATATAATAAAAAAAAAATACACCATTGTTTTGTTCCATTTCAGCCATACTATGAATTCACTGGGCTCTTCTAGGCTATCCGAAGAGCATAACTACCATTTATCATGTCATTTCCACAAGAAAAATAAAATCTGTTTTCCAAACAACTGACTTACAAATGAACTAACTACTGGAACACGACCTGTTGTTCAACTGGAAATTGTACATAGTTTCTATCCCACACGTTTCATGAGAAATGGTAAAGACTTGGAGAGTAGAAGTCTATTAATGGAGATGTAATAATAAGACTATATTTGTGTTCACTGCAAATTATGGTGACTACTATCTAACTGGGTATTCTGACACACTTTCAAAGCTTCTTCTCTGAAGAGAAAAATTTAAAAATTTTAACATAAATCACAAAACCTTTCCTAAAAATATTCAATCACAGTATGCTGCCTCTTTAATAAAGAAGAAAAAGATACAGCAATGAATGCTACTATAATTCACCACCACTACCAGACAAAATTCTTTTCCTTAGCCATTTCAAGGTATTTTAGTAAAGTAACAATGCTGACTTTTATTTGAACTTAACTTGCCTTTATTTTCTCCTAGAATCCTGCTAATAATTCATGCCTTCTTCTAAAATGTTTTTAAAGTGCAAGTATAGTGGGGGTAAAAGATCATGATATTCTATAAATATGCATCTAAGATACAATATTTACAAAGCAATTCTCAGCACTCCTTAGTTAATAACAAAGTTGTTAATAAGAGGATATATGAGCTTTCGTTGATTGAACACTGTTTGGTTACCTCTGAATAAAGGAATTAATCAAAGAAACAAAGTATAATGTTCAATCTTACTATACTTCATTTCCAGAAATTACAGAGCCCCACGGTAACTTTGCTGAATATGCCAAAGAAAGACACAGAACGTGTGTCACTTACTATCTGGGTCTTCAAGGGGAATATCATTACAAGAGTCTGTATCTGAGTAGGTTCTTCGGCGTCGTTGGGAGAGTCGGTGAAGTGTAGATACTGGTTCTTTTATAGAGTAGCTACTCCTGAAAATTAAATAAAAAGCATTAAATTGTAAGGCCTTACATAAACAAAAACACCCTGAACTGGAATTTTAAATAACTTCTCTTTAAGTCAAAAAAGAATTATTTTTAGGCTCAACATCCTATGTTAGCAACATTCTACTCAGAAGTCAAAGGCAAGTGAACCCATTCAGAAGACAGCTGGTAACTTGGAGAATATGGCTTCTGAGCTGAACTAAATGGAAGAGGGGTACAATGAAGTAGTGACTTCTATAGGGGTGACTCCAGCAAGCAGACATATCAGTCGGTTTACAAATGTCTGAAAACTAAACTACAGATTTCACAAGTGCATGTGCTTAAAGTCTATTCATATCCAATCAAAACCAGCAGACTGAAAGGGATGGGCAAAGAGTTTATAGAACTAGAGAGGTAGACTCACTGACAACAGCAAGATAAAGATGGTAAAAAGGAGCCTAGAGAAACTTTTTAAAAAATCTGTCTAAAAAAATTAAACCTAGAGAAACAAATCACCACCACCTAACAGCACCTCAGCTACTATTCTGTAATAGCCCAATGTTGCTGTACTTAATGACAACCCTGATTCATCAGGAAAAAAATAAAATTTTTAAATTATTATTTTATAAGGTAGAAAGGATAGAAAATTTTCTTTTATAAAAATAAAAGTTTGTCAAAAGTTGATTAAGCTTCATTTTTCTGGAAAATTCAGTTGGTGGGACTCTAGATTCCCTGACAAGGTTGGATATATACATCATTGGACTCCCCTGAGTACTTGATGGTTTAATCAAAGATTATATAATCATCAGGGAAAAAAATTAAAACATGACAAAACAATAAGGGTCCAGTATTTAATCGTCCAAATGTAGAGAAATAATGCTAATATCACTATAATTAAATCACTTTCCAAAGAACCAAATAAGACAACCACAGCAACTTAAAGGATTATAACCTAACAAAATAATAGTTTAACAACTTAGCATTTTGGTAAGATCTATCCAGAATGTAAATTTTTTAAATGTGTTGATATGAATATGTACTTTAAAATATCAAGTGATTTTCTCTTTTCAGCAAGATCTTTCTCTGTTAATAAAACAACAGCTCAGCATGAATAGATGATGCTATAAACAGCTGAAGTAAAATGAGCCCCAGCTGTGGAGTCTTGATACATCAAAAATGTACTTCTGTCTAACCATCACTTGATATACAGTCATGTGTCTCTTAATGACAAGGATGCATTCTGAGAAGTGCATCGCTAGGTGACTTTGTCACTGTGCAAACATCACAGAGTGTACTTACACAAACCTAGCTAGTATGGCCTGCTACATACACATGTAGGCTATGTGGTATAGCTTATTTTATCTAGGCTACAAACTTGTACCACATGTTATTGTACTGAATGCTGTGGGTGACTATAACACAATGGTAACTATCTGTGTATCTAAACATACCTAAACATGGAAAAAGTACAGTAAAAATACAGTATTATAATCTTATGAGGCCACTGTCATATATGCAGTATATCATTGATGGAAAAGTCATTACTCAATATATGACTGTATTTCAAATATCTAAAAAAGGTAAAATGGCTGGCAAGGTGCTTATGTTGCTGGTTAATTAATTAATTCATTTTTAGTGTGCTGACTACCTATTGAGCCCAGGCCCTTATACTAAATTCCAGGAGATAAATACTGAGAGTTAAAATGCTGGTTTCAGAACCAGACCTAACCCATATAAAGTTTACATTCCACAACATTTATTAAAAGCCAAAAGAACTTCCCTAGGTGGGTATAATCTGAGAGAACTTAGTCAAAAAAAAAAAAAAGGTTATTTTACCTCTCGGAAGTGCAAGAACCAGGGTGGCTGACAGAACGCTTCATCTAGAAATTTGAAAAAAAATTTTTTTAATTAGCATAATCCTCATGTCAAGTAGAATCACACATCTCTAATTTACTATTGTCATAAGAAACATAAATTTACTCAGAGAAAAAGATACCTGGCAAAAGAAAATTTATCTTTCACAGACTCAAGTTACATAATTAGCCCAATGTCAAGCTTTCTCCCTAATAACCATTAATTGGAATCTTTTTCAACACACACCAAAAACACGCTGGATTCTTTTTTCAAAAGTAAAAACCAAATTTTATATATAAAACATACATATATGTGTGTGTATAGAAATATAAAAAAGAGGGTATATAACTATAAATATAAAAAACGGTATATAGCCAATTCAAAAGTCATACTTTTTGTGATAAAAAGGAGTATCTAGCAAGTCAGAAAATGTTCTAATAAATACTTCTTTTTAAAAGGTAGTAGTAGAGTCTGGTAGCAAAGCTTCTCTTTACCATAAATTATTTAGGTAGCTGATGTACATATGTTCTAAAGTGTGGTTTTCATGGAAGACAGCATTAATAATTCAAGACTTTAAAGAACTCAGAAGAACTCCTCTAAGTCTCAATAGATTTCCAAAACATATTTTTAAAAAATAATACCTAATAAGGCAGAGCATTTAAAAAATATGATAAATACTAAACATCATTTGGAAGATCCAACTACTCCATCAAAACATAAAGGGAGGCAGCCAAGTAAAACAGATTATTTCAAAGCTTAACATGGTAGCAGAAAAACAAAGATTATACTAAAAGTTTAGGATGGTTGCTTTTGTATACATGGGCCCAAGAGTCTAACAAGCCCAGGTGTAACATATGTTACATAAATGCCTTCTAAATATTTAGAACATGAGCCACTAGTTGCTCTGAGAAATGCCAGTTGAAACAATAAGAGATATGACTCACCCACTTTATAGTCATATAGATGGGAACATCTAATAAGATTGACATTAAGATGCAAATGGACATGAACATCTCCTTTAACAGAAGTTACTTCCTTTAGGCTTACTAACCCAACCACATCCCCACTACAGTAATCACTCAACCTGTAGGTCAAATGACAGTTGTCTGAACTTTTATGATGACTTGAAATAAAGTTAAATGCAAGTTTACTCTAAGATGGATTCATTGACATTAACTATATCAAGCGCTTATAAAGATCAGATTAAATGGTTTTGGAATACTCAAATTTTCAGCTTTTTCATATAAATAAATATAAGTTTTTCATATAACTAAATAAATAATGTTATTTAAAAAAAAAAAAAAAAAAAAAACCATGAAGACTGTCTGACCTTATTTTCCATGCTATGTGTCTCCAGAACTATTATATAAGCCAAAATTCTTGCTCTTTTTATCAAGCAAAATGGTATAGCTAGGAAAAATAAGCAGCTTTTAACCGAATATTTCCTGAATTAATGTATTAGATTTCCTGTAATTTTTCTACTGAAGGTTTTAGCTTTAGAAAGACAATTATTTTAGTTTCTTATATGTGAAATACAAATATGACTTCTCTGAGCTACAGAGCATTTGCAACATAAGGCATTTCCTGAGAAGTTCAATGTAGAAGCAAGGCAGCTCTGAGGTGTTTTACTGCATTTGACTCCAAAAAGTACACCTTTAAAACAAAAAGTGTACCCCTTGTATATCAACCTCAGGAACATAGCACTATACATCCATCTCAAAGGACCGGTTTCTTTGTTCACATATACGTGTTATTTAACAGTTTATAGCATATCTACAGTTGTCCTAAAAGCAACATTATCAAACTATGTTCTACTCAACACCACAGTCCTATAAGATGGTATTAAAAATATATATATAATGGGCTCAATTGTCAAATTTCAGAAACACTATACACTACACCTCCACCTCTCAGAGATACATAATACACTTCAGCATAGTGACAGCCGGGCATGGTGGCTCACACCATAATCCCAACACTTTGGGAGGCTGAAGCAGGAGGATTGTTTGAAGCCAGGAGTTTAAGATTAGCCTGGGCAACAAAATGAGACCTCATCTATACAAAAAATAAATTTAAAAACTTAGCTTGAAGCCAGGAGTTTGAGACCAGAGGGGGCAACAAAATGAGACCCCATCTCTACAAATAATAAAGTTTAAAAACTTAGCCAGGCTTAGTGGTATGTGCCTATAGTCCCAGGTACTCAGGAGGCTGAGGTGGGAGGATCACTTAAACTTGGGGGTTTGAGGCTGCAGTGAGCTATCATGGTGTCACTGCACTCCAGCCTGAGTGACAAAGTGAAAGAAACCCTGTCTTTCAAAAAAACGAAAAAACAAATACAACAAAAAAAGGCTGTGGCAAGTCCTATCAAGCTGATCAAACTGTCCTTATCAGATTAAAGAAACCCAATTCATTTAAGTTATCCTAGCAATTCCCAAATTAATCTGACCATAAAACTCATTTTCATGGTACGCTTGTCTCAGAGAAAACTATTAGCCATCAAATACTGATTAGAAAACAATTCTCTAAACAAATCTAGGCAATAATCTTCACTAAATCTCATATAACCAAATTTGCTGGGATAGGTAAGAGAACCTAGGAATAAGTTAGACCCTATTCTCCTAACAAGTACATCTTCAGGTAATTGCTAAAACAGCAACAAGGTGGCATTCTTACTCCCGTAAATGGACTCCTAAAAACACTTTCATGAAATAAATTTAAAGTCTCATTAAAGCTTATCTTACCTACAAGTTTCTCACAGCATGCTAGAGCAAGTTTATTAGCTCAGGAAGGACAACAAATCTACCACCCTGGGCAAAAAGAGGACTTGCTGTTCAGAGTAACGAGGAAGTCAGAAACTAACACTGAGCAGCAGGTCAGGTCGTTTGCAGTGACTGATAAACACTGCATTTTTACACATGAAGAAACTGAAGATCAGCTACTCTGAGGGTTCAGATCCAAATGCTGAGTACAAAATACTTTTCCCACTGGACCATGTTTCAAATTCCTTCTAAGTCCCTTAAAGATTTACTTAATTGTACCCCATTGTGAGCAAAACTTCATTCCGCCGTATAATTCTTACCAAGCAGAACAGAGCTTCCCAACCTTTTCTGTATCACAGCACTTTATAATATTTTCCTAGACACTGGGGAATATGGATGAAGGCTGTGGGCAGGCCATGCACAGCCCCTCCAAGGGGGATGAAGACATTAGCACAAGTGCTGAGCTCATCAGCTAAGAAGCTCTGATACAAAACAGTACAAACAAAAAATTTGAACTTGTTGGCTGTTTCCCCCCACATCACCTTTTTCCACCCTTAAAAATAAATACCAAAAAGAAACAAAAACCACATGCAACATTACTATAGAAGAAAAAAAACAAAACGAGAAGTTCAAACCATTTGAACAGGAGAAGGTGACACAGGAGAAACTAAGGGATCCGGATGGGGTAATTGAAACATCTCAGGTTTAAACTTGGCATTGGCTATCTTCACACATTCCTCAAGCGTTGTGATGAACGTGTTACATGTGGCACTAAGCAAAGAAGAGGCTTCATTCATGTTCTGAAAAATTACACAAAGACTTGAACAGATTTGCGCACAACTACATGGAAACATACACAACCTTATAATTAAATGATAAGACATTATCTCCAACAGAAACATTACTATGTTATATTCAAATTTATTTAAAATACAGTACCTTAGAATATTAAGCTGGGCCAAAAGAAAAAAAAAAAAAAAAACAAGAAAATTAAAACAATGCATGACTAAGAAATGCCTGTCTCTTAGGTAAACAATGTATGAAATTAGATTTCAAGAAAAAATAAGTTTTGCATTTAATTATCATATTGAAAAACTGTGTACAAAAATTTCTTAGAGAAATCTAACCTAAACAGTAAGTTTCATTTTCCCAAAAGTGGTCACAGACATGGAATACCCTTAGAGTTACTTACTGGCAGTACGATTCGTATCTACCCTATATCTATTCTCCCACTTCTTCCTTGATAGACTGAAAACTCCAATTTTGTTCAGTACCCTCTGACCCTGGGGTATGAACAGAGAATGATCTAAGCTAGACATGGCTATTGCAAGACTCTTTACCAATGCTCATTTTTATCTAGTTTCTTTTTGAGCCAGAAAAAAAAAAAAAGATGAGAAGTCTGCTGGGGAATTTCTGGGATTTTTGTTCCCTGATTCAAAACCAAGCACAGCAAGTTGAGATGGTCTCTCTCCACACTGGCAACCCCACTACCTCCTGTCTCTTTGTGAGCTTGACAGTCATCTTGACACCTGGGGGCAGCAGGAGAAAAACTCGACACACCAAGAATGGCAGAGTAGAAGGATGGAACAAGCCTGTGTCCCTAATACTGTCGCTAAGCTGCTATAGCAAGTGTGAGAGTACCGACCTCCAGGGAGCTTGTGGTTAAACAGTTAAATGTCCTTGGGCTTCTTACACAAGATTCCTCCCCAACAGGAGAAGGCCACAAGAGAAGTAAAGACTTCTTGTCCCACTTCTACCAAGTTAGGCAAAGAGTAACGGCAACGTGCTGGCCTTTCACCCAGTGAGTGGTACAGCTCACTGGTACGATTTTATCAGAAAGAATGAGCCTATTTTAGCCAGATCCTACTAATCTGAGTTTTGATTCCTAAGTCACTGTTCTGAGAAGGATTTAAGTTATTTCATAAAGATAAGTTATCAACTCTCATAGTTGAAGCAGGGACCTTATTACCAAAAGAAGGAGAATAGCAGCTGTTCAGTGAATTTATGCTATTAGCCTGGAGAACAAAGCCTAGAATGCTTCTTCCCAACTCCAACCTCAAAATTATCAGAGTGGCTAAAAAGATAAGCCTTGATCCCTGGAGAAATATGCTGCTTCGTGTTCTTCTCTGGCCACACAGACACAAACAAGAAGATGCTGCAGATTTCCAGATAGTCCACAGTAAGCAGAGCCCAGAAAAGCTGAAAATACTTCAATGTGAAAATGCCTGTCCATCATCTTATGGGATGACTGAGGATCCCCCCAGCGTACTTCAAAGCATAACCACACATAAAGAGATCCTCTTTGCTCTACCTCTACACTAGGAGATGAGTGATTCTCATCATGGTGAACAAATTCCTGTATCGTATGAACTTGCTGCATTAGGAGGTCACAGTAGAGGCGAAGTTCAGACATTTTGGTTTTCAGCGATTCACTAGTTTCACTTATTTCTGAAAATAACATATATAAATATCCAGTTAGATCACTTTCATATTCTTTGGGCAATATAACAAAATGTAATCATTTAAAAAGACAATGAATATAAATACCTATAGCTCAAGAAATGTGAGACCTTGGGAATAGGATCACAAGAGCCCTAAGGAAACATCTTCTCTTTAGAAAATTGAGAAAATGCTGACAGTTATATGCCTGCCATGTTTAGGTAATTTCCAGAGACAGGGTCACTGGGTGTTTTATACAGGATATTTCCATTCCATTACTCATCTTCCATTTAAAAAGTGCTCGGTTTTCTTTTGTGAATCGTTTTTTATTTTTGTCCTTTATATATTTTTTCCAGCTCTGATGTTGGTTTTTCTCTTAACAATATAAACTGACAGTTTGTAACAGTTCTTATAAATTAAAGACAGTAATCTTTCCTCTATCTTATATACTGCAAGTACCTTTTCCAGGTCTGTTAGCTCTCTTTCAGTTTTCTTTAATGTATTTTGGCACACAGAAGTTTTAAATGTTTATGTAATTCAAACTACTGTATATAAATATTCATTTATTTTCTTTTGTTCCTTTCAGTTTCATTTTCACATTATACTATTTTCAAAATTTTTTATTAAGAGCATACTTTCTTCCTTAGCATCTCCGGACAAACTAAACATCCAGCCATAATCTCAACCACTCACAAGCCAATACGTATTAAACTAGAAGTATAAGCTACAGAGGAAGAAAATTCATAGAGTAAATTTCTGGTGCTTCTCCATACTCCCTGGGCCAGGTCCCAGTGGCCTTGCTCTCTGGTCCTAGCCACTTTCGCCACAGTGGACAAAGCAGCTCTATCTGCTCATTTAATCTAACCTAAATAAATTCCTGCTCACACTTAAACTCATTCTTTTTCTTAATTGTGGTAAAATATACATGAACATAAAATTTACTATTTTAATCACTTTTAAGTTTTCGCTTCAAAATGTGGCATTAAGTACATTTGTATTTGTAAAACCATCACCACCGTCCATCTCCAGAATGTCTTCATCTTCCCCAACTAAAGCTCTGTACCCACCCAACACTAACCCTATTCCCACCTCCCCCTGGGCCCTGGGAACCAACGTTCTATTTTCTGTCCGTATAAGTTTGACTGTCCTGGGTATTTCATCTAAGTGGAATCATAGACTATATGTCCTTTTGTGATTAGCTTATTTCACTCATTATAATGTCTATAAGGTTCATTCACACTGTAGCATGTGTCACAATTTCCTTCCTTTTTAAGGCTGAGTAATATTCTATTGTATATATTTACCACATTTGTTTACCCATTCATCTACCCATGAACATCTGGGTTATTTCCACCTTTTAGCTATTGTAAATATCCATTCCTTCTTATCCTACCTGTAGCCATATTCTGTAATGTTTTCACATATTTCAAAATTGTTATAAATTCAATCCTCTGCCTCCATTTCTCAATACTTATAATTTACTTGATTCCACCAATGTAATTGAATTGTATTTTTTAATTATAAAAGTAATACACACTTAATAAAAAATTTTGAAATAGAAAAAATATAGAAAAGAAAAATCAAACAACTGTACTAAGGTTTGAATATGGTTTGTTCTCAGCAAAACTCATGTTGAAGCTGGGCCCCCAGTGTGCCAGTGTTAGGGAAGCAGTACCTCTAAGAGGTCATTAAAGGGGATTCATACCTTCCTCAAAGGTGTGAGTGAGTTCTCAACCCCTTGGGACTAGATCAGTTACTGTGAGAGTGGGTTGTTATGTACTGAGGCTGCCTCTTGTGTTTGGTCTTTCTGCACATGCCCGCATTCTCTTGCTCCCTCTACTATGCTATGATGCAGCATGAGGACCTCACCAGAAGCCAACTAGAAACAGCTACTCAATCTTGAACTTCCAGCCTCTAGAGCCATGAGTCATACCTCTTTTCTTTATAAATTATACAGTCTAATGTGTCAAAGCAACAGAAAATGAGTAAAACAAACTGTAATCTCACTATCAAGAAATTATCATTTTTACATTGTATCTGCATATAGTTGAACGAATAATATAAATCATTTGCTTTGCTTTCAATTTCTAAAAATCTTTTTTAGTATACAGTGACAAGTGAGTCTCCTTCCCACAAATTCCACTTCCAAATCTGACCAATTCTTACGCACCTTTCCTAAAACAGCCAATGAATTCTAACACTATACATAATTCTGAATCCTGCATTTCAATGATCATTTACCCTTGGGCATTTTCTCACATTAAAATCCCTTTTAAACATCTTACTGAATATATATCAGCCAATGAAAGCACGAGTTTAGGCCGGGTGCAGTGGCTCACACCTGTGATCCCAACACTTTGGGAAGCCAAGGCAGGTGGACTGCCTGAGGTCAGGAGTTTGAGACCAGCCTGGCCAGCATGGTGAAACTCTGTCTCTACTAAAAATATAAAAAACAGCCAGGAAGGCCGGGCGTGGTGGCTCAAGCCTGTAATCCCAGCACTTTGGGAGGCCGAGGCTGGTGGATCACGAGGTCAAGAGTTCGAGACCATCCTGGTCAACATGGTGAAACCCCGTCTCTACTAAAAATACAAAACATTAGCTGGGCATGGTGGCGCGTGCCTGTAATCCCAGCTACTCAGGAGGTTGAGGCAGGAGAATTGCCTGAACCCAGGAGGCGGAGGTTGTGGTGAGCCGAGATCAGGCCATTGCACTCCAGCCTGGGTAACAAGAGCAAAACTCCGTCTCAAAAAAAAAAAAAAAAAAAAAAAAAAGCACCAGGTTTTTTTAACTATTCCCCTAAATTTATAGCTTTTACAAAATGTTTACTATGATAAAGATATATGTAAATTTACATTTCTAATTATTTCCTTGGGATTGATACTAAAAGTGGACAGGCTAATTTATAATTTATATTTAAGGAAGTACTCTTGTCACAAAGGAAAAGTTCATAGTTACCTTTTTCTTTTTTAGTCCTTGTATCAGTCAAACATGCTTTGGAGCTCCCCAGAGCAACCAGCCACCTCTGTCTTTCAGCTGCATTCACTGCCTTCATGTAGAAATGCTGCTCTCCAGGAATGATTAATTCCATTCTTGTGTTGTCTGCTGAATGAACTATGATGATAAACAAAGGGAAAATGCAGTTATAGGCTTCAGTAATTTAAGGGGAATCAAATAATCATCTAATCACACATGGTATCAGATGCTTCATATACCTAAAACAACAAACTATCATTCATGATGCAGGCAGGGCTGCTCCCTAAGGCGCCACCTAGTGGCACCTTCCAAACCAACATTCTCACATAGACCCAGGGTGATAATGGTGATAAAGCAATGACAGAGTATGAAACAGAAAACAGGGACATACTAACTACTGAGAAGTGAGATACCACCCCCACCCCCCACCACCTTGGGGCCACTTATCCTATTAAATACAACTGCAGTGAATGTTACACTATCATATATTTTTTACTGATTTCCTTGAAAGCAAAGTCTTTGTTTTCATATCCCCCAAGACTAGAATAGTGCTCAACATATAGAAGGAATGTAATAAATGACAACTACAGCCACTTTCTATCAGAAAATTAAAATTATGGATCATAGCATAACACATGGAAGGCATGTATATTTTGAAGACATTCACCTCTTCCCCTCTTTCCACCTATTTTTCTACACACACACCTCCTTTTATGCTCTAAGAGAGCTAATCAGGAATTATAATGCACCAATCCCAAGTCTTTCTTGTAAAAAAAAATTTGTATTAAGCTGTCATTCACCAATAGTTATTTATTCATCTCAGAGCAGTGCTAGTAGAAGGGAAGATAGAGGGGAAGAAAAAAAGATGCCTTTGCTTCTACTTCTATAATAGTTGACAGTTTAACCAAGAAACAAACTGATGCACCAAAAACAATCAGAATACATAAATGTTTAACTCTTTTGTGCAGACATTTCTTGTGTAATTATGAGAGAAAGTAATTTAAGACAGGAAATTAAAAAGGCTTCAAGAAAAAAAATTTGAAGAGAGCAGGATTTAGTTAAGAAAATAAATGAGAAAAAGCTTAAATGAGAAAATAAATGTAGAATGTACTGAGAATATTAGGAAACAAGCATAAATGGAGGCTTCCATTGTATTGCAAAGTAATATTCATATTCGTTTGGCCAGCACAGTGGTGCAAGCATGTACTCCCAGTACCTGTAGACCCAACAACTTGGGAACCAGAAAGCTGAGGCAAGAGGATCGCTCGAGCCCAGGAGTACAGGCTGCCATGAGCTACAATCTCACTACTGCACTTCAGACTGAGTGATAGAGTGAAACCCTGTCTCTAAAAAAAAAGAAAGAAAAGAAAAAAAAAAAATATTCATGAATGGACAAGCTAGGAGGAGCCAAATTATGAGGGGCTCAGCAAAGTCTGGCAGAAGCCCCAACTTAAATAATTAATTGCTATAAATATTGACCAGATACTTAGTGTACTATGGTAAGTGCCACAGAAGCTTTGCTATCTTATTATTCTACTTATATGGGCCATTCTTAGATGTAGACACTGAAACATATAGCCATGCAACAATCAATTATGAGTGCAAAAGATTTCTAGGCTAGGATAAAACTACTGAAATCCTAAAGCTGTAAGAGTAACTCTTCCTTACTAATTGCCAATACTAGTGAAAACACCAATAGTTACTTTAAAAGAAAGCAATGCTCTAATTTCTAATGATGTTACTACAAGATGAAACTAAAATAATATGACTCATTTTTAAACATACCAGACTTTATGTATCCAATCAAGGGTGGTCCCCTCCAAAGTTGTCACCTGAAAAGGCAACAAACTTAAAAATGATGCTTCCAAAAACATGAAGGAAAAAAAAAAAAAGATGGACAAGACCTCTAAACACAAACTACAATACATTACTGAGAGAAATTAAATACCTAATTAAACAGAGTTAATGGAACAGAAGAGTCAATATCATCAAGAATATAATTGATCTGTAGATTCAACACAATTCCAAACATTCCAGCAGATAGCTGTGGAAATTTATAAGTAGATTCTAAAATGTCTAAGGAAATGCATAGGGCTAACAATAGCCAAGACAATACTGAAAAAGAACAAAATTAGGAGACTTTGGCTATCAGATACAAAGAGGATAAAGCTAAAGAAATTAAGACAATATGATATTGGCACAGGGATTAAAAAAAAAAAAAATAGGGCCACAAAACAGAATAGACAGTCCAGAAAAAGACCCACACATACATGGTCACTTGCTTTGTGACAAAGCTATTCCCATGGCGCAGTGGGGGAAAGGTTGCTATTAAATCAAGTACAGACCTAATACAGACCTAAATATAAAAGGTAAAAAAATAAACATTCAAGAAAGTAACACAGAAGATGTCTTCAGTGAGTCATAAAATGATACAATAAAAGAAGTTAACAAATTGGACTTCACTGAAATTAAGAACTCTGTTCCTCAAAAGGTATCATTAACAAAATGAAAACATAAACTACAGAGTGGAAGAAAACGTGCAATACAAAGTTTCATCCAGACTATACAAAAAACTCCTACAAATCAACATGAAACACAGTCAAAGTTAGAAAATGGGCCAAAGACTTGAAAAGGGACTTCAAAAGAAGAGAACATTCAAACTTTTCTTTTTCTTTTTCTGGAATCAGGGATCTCATTTTGTTGCCCAGGCTGGTCTCGAACTCCTGAGTGCAAGCATCTGCCTGCCTCAGCCTCCCAAACTGCTAGGATTATAGACATGAGCTAACACGCCCGACAAGAGGACATTCAAATGGCTACGATCTAAAAAAGTACTCAACATCATTAGTTACTGAGGAAATGCAAGTTAAAAACCACATGAGATTCCACTACAAACACCAGAAATATTCCAAATTTTTTAAATGGATAATACCAAGTTTTGGCAAAGATGCAGAACAACTAGAACTCTAACACTCAGATCAGTTACAGAAAAAAATTAATATAATTACTATGGAAAACATCTGGCATCATCTGTGAAAAAGATTCTTGGCCAGGCACAGTGGCTAATGCGAGTAATCCCAACACTGTGGGAGGCTGAGGTGGGCAGACTGCTTAAGCTCAGGAGTTCAAAAGCAGCCTGGTTTTTGCAACAAGGCGAAACCCTGTAGCTACAAAAAACACAAAAATTAGCTGGGCATAGTGACGTTTCCCTCTGGTCCCAGCTACTCAGGAGGCTGAGATAGGAAGATCACCTGAGCCCAGGAGGTTGAGGCTGCAGTAAGCCATGATCACATCACTGCATTCCAGCCTGAGCAGCAGAGTGAGACTCTGTCTCAAAAAAAAAGAAAAAGATTCTCTTCTTGACCAAATTTCAGTCAGCTTCATTTGGGTCCTATACTCACCTAGGCTTCCTTCTTCATCTCTGTAGAATCCAGTTTTAGCGAGAATGCTAAGTCAATTTAGCCAGACTCCCCTAACAAAATATTTCATCACCCACCCCTGATATCTGACCACATTCTTCATTCCCTACAATCTTCCAGCAATGTCTGATCACCCTGGACTCAATCTGCCTTCAGCAAGAATCCTGTTAGATCAGTTTAGCCAGAATCCCCACTTACCTCTTAGCAACTTTCCCTCCACTGACACCCTCTCCCCCTAACCCTGCTCCTTGGCTATAAATTCCCACTTTTCCTTGTACTTGGAAGTTGAGTCCAATCTCTCTCCTCCAATGCAATAGTCCCTATATCTATCACAACAGTCTGAAATAAAGTCTGACATATCAGTTCAGCAAGTCTCAGGAATACTTTTTTCTTTAACATCTATTAAAGCTGAATGTATGAATATTCAATGCCTTGGCATTCCACACCACTTCTAGAGATACACTACACAGAAATGCACACATATGTTCAATAAATGTGTAAGAATGTTTATGGCAGCTTTAGTCACTGTAGTCTCAAAATGGAAATAACCCAAAAATCCTTCAGCACTAGGATGGATACCAAAATTGTGAGATATTCGCACAATGGAACACTATATAATGAGAATGACTGAACTACTGTTACATAGAACAACGTAGATAAATTTCACTAACGTGATGTTGAGTAAAAGAAGGCAGACACAAAAGAAAATACTGAATTATTCCATTTATAAAATGTTCAAAAGTAGACAAGGCTTATGTACAGCAATTAAAGTCAAATTAATGGCTACCTTTCAGGAAGATTAGTGACTAAGGGGACTGGAGGGGGAGGCTTCTGAGATGCTGATAATATTCTAATTCTGGGTAACTAGGTGGTAGTTACCCAGGTGTTTTCACTTTGTGAACATTCTTCAACCTGAACATTATTTAATATTTGTATCGTTTTCTGTGTGGTATTCTTTAATAAAGTTATAATGTTAAACAGCAACAAAAAAGATGCTCCCATGCCTTGAAACCATTTTGGAATTGTCTTAGAATTCTGCAGCTGTCTTTTAAATATCCTCAAAGTTGGCAAATCTTCAAACTTTGAATGTAGTTTGGATATCTGATTTAATCTCATTTGGAATCAAATCTGAGAATAAGATAAAGCTATTATTAATACTTTTTTAAAAAAATAAAAACCAATGCTTTGAATGAGTTTTTCCTAAATGATTTATAAACTGTTCATAAGTAATTCCAAAAGAGAAGTTCTGAAACATTATGGGTGATGACCTTTAGTTAAAAATGAGTATACTAAAACCCAACAGTTTTTGATACACATTTCAGTACGTTTATTAAAAATAAACAACAAAATGATACCCCAAATATTTTACAGGACATACAAATAACAATACACAAGGCAAAAGTGCTCCTATATCTTATATAACCATAACTCCCTTCCATTAAAACGGCAGTAATTCTCAACTAAAGGGCACATGCCATAATCACCTGGCAGACATGTGAAGTTTGGAGAAAGCTCCCTGGATGACACTGATCTACCCTATGCAGAGAATCACTGCTGCAGAAAGATCCCTAATGTTGGCAAATCAGAGGTGAAGGTGAAAAGCTAGCTGTGTAGCCAAAGAATATGCACCCAAAGCAGAAATTATCTTTTGTCTCCATGGCTAAATCTTACTAAGAACTATTGCAAAATTACATGAAAGAAGCAATCCAGCCCTGGAAAATGCAGAACAATACATTGGCTGCTGCTATGGTTTAATCTAAACAAGAAAATGCATACCTCAATAAGATGTCGCCAGGGTATTTGATAGCTATGACCCAGAGCTTACCACATGAAAGGAAACACACTTCATGAATGACACGTATTCAAGCCAGAGTGGAGAAATGAAAAACGACCAGGAGGGAGTTGAACAGTCACTCCCCTGGTGCTCTGGTTCTTCCTTCATTCTCTTTGAATAATTCGGTACTTTTCACTATTATTTTATATGATTTCACTCTACCTGCTTCCACCACACTCACCCCAAACACACACACAAATGAATCAATGGTCCATAAAAATCTTTCTTCATGAAAATTACAGCAGGACCTATCGCTTTATTTCTCCCCTTTTGGAAGGAAACAAACAAAAAATTCTCTACCACCCAGGAGAACTTACCTCCAAATTCAGCAAAGACCCAGAGTTTATGACTCCGACTTCATACTTTATCAACACCCTACAGAGCTGGCCCCATCATGTTTAGAGTTCAGCTTCCAACCTTCACAATATCTTTCTATTAATTACAACAAGAATGAAAGAAAATGCTTGTAGACTGAAGATGGACACTAAAGTAGTATCCACAAGAAATTGTCAAGTCCCAATTGGAAGACTAGCAAAAGTTATTTCCATTCAAAATACATGTGTAGAGGGAGAATTATCAAAAACTGCGTTTAATTGTGTTAACTGTGACGAAAGGCCACTCTTAACTGCTAAGGATATAAATGGTATTAGAAGATCCCTACGTGGTTAGAAATGCCTTTTTCCTCTTGTTTGGAGTATGCTGAAGAACCCTTGACTATTTTAACCTCCAATTCCTCTAATTCTATATATTCACTTACCTTTAATTTCACAAACTGCCATCTTTATGCTTCCTTTGCTCCCTTTGCAAACATCATCCTGTGAATCATAGTAGGATAGGATTCCATTATCCAAAACAAACCAACGAGGCTGCCAACCTAAAAAGATCATAAATAACAAAAGGTCAATTGGAAAGACATTACTTTCAACACACAGAAAATTGTGATTTCAAAACTAGCCATCCACATTATTTCTTGGCTCTCAACATTCTCACAATTAAATTTTTAATCACCAAGCCTTACCAAAAATGTTTTTGCATCAGTCTCCAGTTTATTGGGAGAGATTTCAGGAGAAATCTCCAGATCAGCAAAAACAAAGGGAGTAATACTTCTAATTCTGGCTCATAGCGTTCTCATTAACAACCCATAAGGCCCACCCTCAGTAATAGCCCTAAACCGGGTACAGTATAACTGCCCTCTTTTCCTAAAAAGGAACAGAGTTGGGGAAAAGTCACAGAAAACAGGGAGTCTAGCCTCACCTCTACTATTATTCTTTAATTGGATAACCATACCCTGGGGGCAAATCTTTTCATTTCAATAAATCTCTAAAATTCCCGGTCTCTAAAATGTGTTGGTTGAACAAGATGACCTCTCTGGTGCCACCTAGCTCTCTAATTCTGCAATGTGCCTCTTATAAAATACGTATTTCTAAGCAAGCTCCCTTAAACACAGTGAGTGCTAAATGAATTCCAGTCTCTTACACAGAAGCTACATACACGGTGGTAAGAACATAGATTCCCCATATGACCTCCTCTTCCCTTGTCTGCAGCTGCACAGCTAGGGCAGAAATGCTAGAAACTGCAATTGTTCAATTGATATTTATTCAGTGACTAGAGCTCACATCTATCACAGACTTGGCTCCATGGCAAAGCTGGTGACAAGGATGATGGCTTTCCTTGGTACCCAACTCCTAGTACTCTTTCAGGCCAAACCTGGTGTTCCCTGGAGTCTTATCAAGCATGCTACTAATTTACAACAGTTCACTGACTACTAACCTGGTGACCATGCTGGGGGCAGTGTGACTGCCCTTGCTATTTCTGTGACTATTAAATAACACTTCAGCCCAAGTGTTCATGAGTAAAATGTACATTTTAAACTATGGGTGTTCAAATGCTGGTCACTTTTGCCATAGCCTGTCACATGATTAATTTGATCTTTTCAGGGTCAGAGAGTGCTGAAAGGTGAGATAGGTCAATTATTCTTACACTTTAATACACATCCAGGACTTATTTTCCCAAAAGGATTTACCTGTAATGCTTTTGAAATGACAACACTGAGTCATCATAAAAGATTAAATTTTACTTTGTAACCTTGTTTAGGAAGGCAGGGAATGCAGTAATACAGCTCAGAAAGACAGACATCTAAAACAATTAAAAACCAGCAACTTTCAGGTTCCTGGAAAATTTCATTTTATGAAACAACAGAGCATTCCCTAGTGAGACCCAAACAAATTAGAAAGTGAGTTATTTTGGTACATGGACCTTATCTTGTTCATCCCAGCAAATAGAACGGTGCCTGGCACATAACAGGTACCAAAAAAACACATTTCTCAAGTGACTCAATAAATAAATGAATGAACAAATACCCCAAAAGTGAAATATTTCAGAAATTGTTGTGTTGTTGTTTTGTTTTGTTTGAGACAGAGCCTGGCTCTGCTGCCCAGGCTGAAGTGCAGTGGCATGAAAATGGCTCACTGTAATCTTGACCTCCTAGGCTCAAAAGGTCCTTCCACCTCAGCCTCCCAAGTAGTTAGGACTACAGAAGTGCCACCACGCCTGGCTTATTTTTATAGAGACGAAGTCTCGCCATATTGTCTAGGCTGGTCTCAAATTCCTGGACTCAAGTAATCCTGCCCCCTTGGCCTCCCAAAGTTCTAAGATTACAGGTGTGGGCCACCACACCTGGCAGGTATTTCATATTACCCCTGAGAATACAGACATACAATATATCTTTGAGAGTATATTGTATTGAACATGCATGGAAATGATAAAAACATTATCTTTCCAAACACTAATTTACCCTAACAAATTATAAGCAGGGAGTGGTGAAAATACACTCCTCTGCCCAGGTCTAGTGTGCCTATAGAACAAACTATGATTCTGCAAGTCTGTAGTACTGCAATTCAGTATCTTTTTAAAACAAATATTGGGCAAAATGATTCATTTAGAACCTGCAGCAACATGAAAGTTGAGTGGTTGAATATACTAATATAATCAATCCTGTTGATTATACTTTTTGAAGAAATATTTAATAAAACAATTTCTAATTGATTCACACACATATAACAGAGGGTAACACCTGTTGAAAAGATTCACAGGTATTCCCTTTTAAAATTATTTTCAAAAAAAACACACATTATTTTTACCTCAAACTACATAAAATATTACTGAAATTCTTACTTTCTACTCAAACTCCTGATCTCAAGCTATCTGCCTGTCTCACCCTCCCAATGTGCTGAGATTACAGGCATGAGCCACCCTGCCCAACCAACACTATCATTACACTTAAAGATTACTTAGTATCAACAGCTGCTCATCCTTATGACCTAAGATGAGCTAAAATTAATCATCAGCATGCCATCGACCCAAATTTAAATTTTAAAAATGAAATTCTTCCCAACAAAAGATTTCATTTCCACCATGCATACTGGAAGTTAACTAAATGCCCTGAAAAGACTAAAATCTAAACCATGTGGTTAAAAGCTCAACCACTGGTTATTTAATACCATAGGAGATGAGGAAATCGCAACCACAACCAGGTTTCACCTCAACTCTCAAATTATGGCTCATCTCAGTAATGGCGCAATAATTTCTCTGGCATGACCTCCATGAGATGGTGCTTAGGAACATTTGCAATGAGATGACCATTTTATCTCAAAGAATAGAAGCTACTGTCTTTTTTTGAGACAGGATCTTTTTTTTTTTTTTTTTTGAGACGGAGTTTCGCTCTTGTTACCCAGGCTGGAGTGCAATGGCGCGATCTCAGCTCACCGCAACCTCCGTCTCCTGGGTTCAGGCAATTCTCCTGCCTCAGCCTCCTGAGTAGCTGGGATTACAGGCACGTGCCACCATGCCCAGCTAATTTTTTGTATTTTTAGTAGAGACGGGGTTTCACCATGTTGACCAGGATGGTCTCGATCTCTTGACCTTGTGATCCACCCGCCTCGGCCTCCCAAAGTGCTGGGATTACAGGCTTGAGCCACCGCGCCCGGCCTGAGACAGGATCTTGCTCTGTTAGCCAGGCTGGAGTGTGTGGGTACAACCACAGCTCACTGATCCTAGCTCACTGCAGCTGCCATTTCTCCAGCTGAAGCAATACTCTCGCCTCAGCCTCCTCAGTAGCTAGGACTACAGGCGTGCACCACCACACCAAGCTAATTTTCTTTTTTTTTTTTTTTTTTTTGGAGAGACCACGTGTCCCTATGTGGCCTAGGCTCGGCTTAAACTCAAGCAATCCTTCCGCCTTCGCCTTCCAAAGTGCTGAGATTACAGGCGCGAAGCACTCTACTGTCTTTAACAGTTAACACTATGCCTCAACCAAACAGTATAACTGCTCTCACAATGACCCAAATGAAAACGCCTAATAAAAAATATTGTCTAACTTTTAAATGTTTCCTGTTAAAACATGTCACTTATAGAAATAAACTGACTTTTTAGTTTGAACAAAACATCTGTGTATCATAAATGTTAAAAGCATTTGCCGCTATAAATCTGGCTTCAGCATTCTAATAAATCAAAAAGCAGGTGTAACTTTAGCTCAGTGCTAATGCCTTAAAAAGTTTATGTGCACATTTTGCACAAGATCAGGTGGACACAAGTTGACAGTACCATACAATTACTAAGGGATTCGATACTTTTGGCAGAGTGAGTAAGTGGGCAGCAAGTCACGATTTGCCTATTATGCTAGACCCCCAAAAAATCTGTTTACTGTTCAAATTTATTTTAAAACCAACCTCTCACTTGGTGAGATCACAGAATTCTGGAATTGGAAGGCATGTCCAGGACAAAACAATTGATTACTCTGGCCTTATCAGACTGAAGTCCTGAAAGAATAACTGACTTGCCTTGAATGTTGGTTGCTGGCAGAGATTGGACTACAACTCAAATTTAAGGAGTTTTAAATAAGCCAGACTGCCAATGTCATGGAAAGGGGCCCTTTCCTGCTGGTCTCTCATTTCTACAAAAACATTTAAACCTTCAAAGTTCTTCCTTCCAATCCACTTCACAGGTGAAAGTGACTTGCCTGCTCCCCTTCTGTGTTCTAGCACTTTCTTCCACTATTTCTCACACAGTTAACAGAATTCCCAAACGTAAGGATACTTCACTGACAATCTCTAAGAACATATTGTCTGGGGACAGCTTCCAAAATCATGCTAGCTAAGCTCGAACAACCTCAACAAGAGAACTTTTTAAATAAAATGTTGTTAAGAAAATTAAAAGAAATCCAGAAAAGAGTTCTTAAAATTAAATCTTGATTTTAAAGGGTCCATTCCAGTCCAATACTCCGCAACTCGGTTATTAACAAAATGTTCTTAAAGTATGAATACTAAGTGTGAATAAGGACGGAGATCGCAACAACACAAGTAGGGTGACCGAAAATTGTTCCAGTGGCTACAGAAGGCAAAGATTAGTATTATTACACTAGCAAAGAAGTGGCAGGTGCACTTCCCACCCTCTAGAAGTTGCGCAGTCTCAAACACTCCCCTGAAGAGGCCAGAAGGACTCAACAAGCCCCGGAATCGAGGACAGCGAATTCACTCTGAGGGTCCCGTAGGCCAGGCAGAGGAAGAGGCGCCCCAGACCCGCCTTCTCCACAGCCTCCTGCTTAAGCCCGTCCTAGCCCTCCGCCTCTCCCCGCTTCCCCCATCACGCGAGCCCACATACCTGTGAGATAGTTGGTCCACTTGTACAGAACCCCCTCCATGCTTCAGAGCCCCACACCGCACATCCTCTCGGCCCGGCGCCGGCCGCGGTGATGGGGTAGGCGCGGGGCCTGGGGCAGCCCCTCCCGGCCCGCCCGGTACCTCTCCCGCGGCGCCCGCCGCAAGCACGAAGCCGCCCTCTGATCACGCGCGCCGCCGGGACGTGGCGGCCCTTAGAGGCCGGGACGGCGGTTGCAGCTTGGAGCTAGGGGGCCGCGAGGCGCGAGCCCGGACATCCCTGGGTAAACCTCGGCGGCGGTGGCCGCCACAGCGGCAAAAATGCGACCGCAGCCGGCTTCCTACTCGCGCTTCCGGGGCTCTAGTGCTCCCTCACTCGCCCTGGCGCTGCCTCCTCCTCGCCTGCCTTCCTTCCCCCCGGGCTCCCAGTTTGTTTTCATTGACCCCGACGTCGCATTCACTTCCTGGATGAAAGGGGCCGGATCGTCCCGGGAAACCCCTCCCCGGCGGCGGGGCTGAAGGAGCGGGCGCGGCCTGCGGCCTCACTGCTTAGCCCAAGGCTGCGCGAGGAGGGCGGTCCGGCGCCTCGCACTGTCGGCCTCCCAACCAGAGCCGCCTTACTCCTCCCTCGGGCCAGTAGCCAACGGCCCTGAGGCTCCCCAGTCTTCCGCTTGGCCGCCAAGGCCCAGGCCGACCGCCCCCGGGGCCAAGGCCTTCGAGTTCCGCTGCGCGCGCAGCCCCCAGGCTCACACGAGGAGGAGCTCCCCGCGCACTCATCCCGTGGGCACTTAGTTCTCTCGGGTTTTCCTGTAACTAAGTCTCGGGTCCTTTTGGTGATTATTTCTTCTTCTAAAATAAATAAAAGCCTTCTTATTTCTGTTTGCTTCGTATTTTCCTCACATTCAGGGGGTCTGAAATTATCTCCTAGGAAGGCAATGTGCAGCAGTCCGGGTCCTCTCACAAGGAACAGAGATAGCCCCCAAGGAACTGTCATCACGCCATAATTAACCTTGGATAGCCACAGTTTTATTTAGAATATAAGACATGGAACTCGACTTTGGGATTTTATTCTAGAAATGGGGACTTTCCCCTAGCTTTTATGATATTTAAAACTCCCGCTTGGACGCAATAGTCATCTTGCATAATCTACAGTAATTTTAAGGTTTATGGAACTTTGCAAACTTTAAGCAAAGCACATGAATCAGGCTCGGTGCTGCAGCTTTTCTTCGCATCACTGAGGTGGAATAGCAGCTCTACTCCCAGAACCTAGTCCAGGCGAATCAGAAGGCCTTTGCAGGTTTTCTGGTTTGGGTAGTCTTTGGATGTTCACTTGGAAATAAGGTGAATTGATGGATGGGTATGTAATAAATCGAATATAGTTAAATGATAGGATCTAAGTGGTGAGTGTACGAGTGTTTACTGTAAAATTCAACTTTTCTGTGTATTTTAAAGGTTTTCATGTTAAAATGGGGGTGGGTGGAGTTGTCACAGATTTGGCCAAATCCCTGCTGCGTATTAGCTGTGAGATTGGGACAAAATGTCCAATACTCAAGTTTTCTTGACTGATGTGTAAAATGACGTATCCCATGGGATTGATACAAAAAAAGTCTGCCCGCACTACCAGAGGCCCTCGAATCAAGGGCGACCCCGAGTGGCGGGGGAAAGAAATGCAAGCCAGTGGCGGACGCTGAATCGTGGAGGTCGGCTCTCGGGAACGCGGGCAGCCAGGCGGAGGGGCTGCGGCACCGCGGTTTCCTCGCGTCTGGCTGGCTTTCGCGTTGTGCCAATCAGCCTGAAACCTCTGAATGCAAGACTCCGACCCGAGAATGCGCTTCAAGGACACCTCAGAAGCACCCAGAAAGCCACCGCCAGCCTACTTTTTACGCTCCTCTTCCATCATGCCCCTCCCTCACCCTAGTATTTGCTCGTTCCCTAAGGGTCTTAGAAGCCTTTTGCTTCCAGAAATGACAACCATATTCCCTGACTCTACGACATCCCAGGCTGTTTATTTCGTCCTATGCCAATTTCATTTTAGAAAATCCAAACGTTGTCACCCAACCCTGAGGAAACCGGCTGTAAAATATGCGGGTTTAGCGAGAAGAAGCGGACCGACTATGCTGTGCGATCTCAGACTGAGGACAGCCAGCCCCAGGGCCTGGAAACAGCGTTAACCGCGCTGAGCGCGCAGCAGGAGGAGGAGGGAGCGGGGCCGCGTCCATGGCCCCGCCCCGGCCCTTTGTGACGCCGGACAAAGCCTGCCACGCGTCGGAACTCGCCGCGGGACAGCCACGGGGCGCGAGTGACACGCGGGAGGGACCGTGGTGTTCTGCTGGAGCCGATGCCAGAAACCATGCATTTCTTATTTAGATTAACTGTTTTCTTTTATCTGTGGGGGCTTTTTACCGCTCAGAGACAAAAGATAGAGGTGAGCACCGAAGAAGTGAAAATAGAAGTTTTGCATCGTCCAGAGAACTGCTCTAGGACGAGCAAGAAGGGAGACCTACTAAATGCCCATTATGACGGCTACCTGGCTAAAGACGGCTCGAAATTCTACTGCAGGTAGGGAATGCTGCGAGCTCCCCCCGCAACCAGTTGTACACAATTTTGCCTGCCTCCACCAAGCAGAAGCCTCATTGGTTGGTTGGTTGGGGTTTTACTTTTACTTTTTAACAGTAAAAGTTGAGCCCTTTATTCATAGAAAAAAATCACATTATATGGCAGTAGTTCTTTAACAAACTGAATATTTCTATTTAAAAGATATTGAAAATGTTGGTCCAATAAATCAAAAATGCAATACATCTGCACACACACACACCAACTACCACCATTACCCTTGGGACCTCCAGAATTAAATCCAGGTTCTGCCTGTAAGGATGTTCACATTTTTCCTTTTCCAGTAAGTATTGAATCTTTACGGAGGAATACACAGAATAAAGAGATTTAATTCTGGCCTTTAGAAGCACAATTTTAGTCTATAGGTCGTGGCCACTTTCTGTCAAGAAGCCACAACAACGATGACTTCCCTGGTGACCTCTGGTGGGCCCTGCTCCACCATTCCACCTGGTGCCTACTCTGATTTAATTACTCAGAGGGAGAACATTTTCTTCACCCTAAGATAGGACTGGGAAAGATAGTTCCATCCATCTAGAAGGGAATTTTAATAAGAATTTATACAATTTTGTAATTTAATATTACATTATATTAGAATTTAATAAGAATTTAATAAATTCTACTATTGGAATTTAGTAAGAAAATATACCATTTTAAATTACTACTAAAATGACTTTTTTTTTTTTTTTTTTTTTTTT